ATTTAAATTAAACTTATGCCATCCCTTTATAATAAACATTGGTTTTGCTAATAAAGCCGCCATATACACACTTTATCCACCAAATCACCCGACACATAACTTTTTTTGCACACTTTAAATATGTAAATTTCCAGATGAAAACAAAACATAAGTACACTCATATATAAATGCATAGATTTCTTATTAAACTAATGCATTTTTATATAAAAGTACACTGATCTTGTTTAAAATAATGATCACTTTTATCCACATACACCGACAATCGACACTTGTTGACGAACACTTTGCACTCACAAACACTTTTTATTATTATTAATATAGACACTTTCACATCAAGCACCTCCGTATTTTACACAAGCACTGAATATCCTATATTTCACACCATAACTTATATATTTTCTAAATTAAATTACATTTTTTCAACCACTTGTGGAAATAACAACAGAAATTCACACACATTTGCCGCTTTTCTTCTGTTTTGCTGGCATTTTCCGCATTCGAGGCGAAAATCAAAAATCTGCCGTGAATAGAGTCAAAAGGGAGACGAACTCCTCATCTCAACCTTTCAGATACGGTCAAAATCGTCCCGGCACATTTTCAAAGTAACGAGTTGTCGCTTCTTATACATTTACGTTCTTTGCCGCATGCAATCGTTTTAGCCCTTTTTCCGTTTTCAAATTGGATTGATTTTTATTTTTAACCGAAAGCCTCTGCTGCTAGCGCTGTTTTATGGTTTATATTATAATTGTTAATGTTATGTAAGTATTTTATAAAATAAATAAAACATAAACATTTTAACCGCCTCCAAAAAAGGAGGTTATCAATCGGTCGGAATATTTTTCTCTGTGTATGTTATCGCATAACTTTGGGCCCCGTTAACCAATTTATATAATTCTTTTTTTTTAAGGAAAGGTAGTACCTCAGAGGTGGTCCCATACTAATTTAGTTTAGATCCTATCATTGGATCATAAAGAAATTAACGGTACTCTTCAACTTTTATATGGGAATTGAAGTCGGTTTTGCTTTTTGCTTAGAAAGTACTTGTAATATATATCGAGGAGTAGTAAGGATTATACATGGATTGGATAAGGCTCATGTCTCTTGAGTCACCTAACAGTAGTAAGTTTTTATATTTTAAATCTTGAATTGTGTTGTTATTGCAGAGGACTATCGACAAACAAATAAGTACAGGAAAAATTTTATCAAATTAAATGCTGTTATACAAAAAGTAAAAGTATGAAAGTAATTTAAAGTCAGTGACTTTTTGAATTTTCCGCACAAAAACTTTAAATGCAACACTGCTCCCGTCAACTGCCTTCCATAAGTGGACCCTGTGACTATTTCCTATGTTGAGTAATAAAACGATGTTTTGCCGAAAATACACTGTATGTATATATTTTATTCAAAAAGTCACTACTAGTACTTCTATTACAGAACTCTACCAGTTTGGTTTTTAAATTTTCTATGGAGTAATATATATCTATGGACATGAATTCAATACTTTGAATAAATCGGTATTGGCTTGTGTCAAATCAAACATAAATAAATGCCATACTTACAAATATTCGTCAAATTAAGCCAACTGATGACGTTTTGACCCCGACAGGCGGTTTTACGTAACCGGAAAGACCCAGATTGTTATCTCTGGGTAAGTGAAGTCACTTTCAGCAATATTCCCCAAAACTACATAAAAAGATCAATTACTCAACCTTCAATTTTTATTTGCTTTATTCCTTAGTTTAATGATTATTAGTATTATTGTTTTTATTGTTAAATACGCTATACATGTAAACTTTTGTAAATAGATTACATAATTTAACAAGCTACAACTATACACAGTATAAATACAGTTAAAAATTGTATCTTTGAAGTCTACATATTGAGATTACTAGCAGTGAACATAGGTATATAGGCATATTTATCTAGTTTTAAAAATCGCTAATAAAACTGACAAAAACCAATAATCGCATTCGTAAAAAAATAAGAAACTAATATACATATATGTAGTGATGAGCTAAATTAAGAGACACACATAATTATTGGTATTAAAAAATTATAATTGAGTACAACATACATATTTGCAAAAGTTGCATCTGCGATAATATCACAATTAATTATGAAAGTTTATTTACAAATCGGAAGAAAAATGTTNCTATACACAGTATAAATACAGTTAAAAATTGTATCTTTGAAGTCTACATAATGAGATTACTAGCAGTGAACATAGGTATATAGGCATATTTATTTATCTAGTTTTAAAAATCGCTAATAAAACTGACAAAAACCAATAATCGCATTCGTAAAAAAATAAGAAACTAATATACATATATGTAAGCTAAATTAAGAGACACACATAATTATTGGTATTAAAAAATTATAATTGAGTACAACATATTTGCAAAAGTTGCATCTGCGATAATATCACAATTAATTATGAAAGTTTATTTACAAATCGGAAGAAAAATGTGTTTACTAAATAAAATAAAATTAATGAGAAACCTAAGACCGCCTGGAGCGCAAATATTAGGGAATACTACCTACATATTAGGGAAATAAATTATTTGTGCGATTTGTATTTTCTCATAATAAAAATTCGAATTAAACTCGAAATACAGCCAGAGTATTGTTGTTTTGCTTTCTGAGCAATTTAGAATGAAACTGTTTTTAAAAACGTTTCTTCTTTCTACAGAGGAGCTAGAAGATGATATCGCTACATATTCACAAACATATTCCATTATATATAGTGTGAGCAAAATGTCTGGAAGTGAGTTCAGTCATTACTGCCAATAAGCGATTCCTGCTGTTCCTCATCGTTTATTCTAAATGAAAATAATATAAAAAACAAGAGAAGAAAAAGCTATAATTGACAAGTGCATATTTAGGTGCCTGTTATTACCCACCTGACTATATTTGGTTTGCGACAACGGCACGATTTCCGATATATGACCTTAAACAGCCTCATTAATGGATCAGAGTCATCGTTGCGCATTAACAATGCCACCAATATTAGCGCCAAAAATATGGGTATTGAGCCCATATAAAACATAGGCGAATATGGCTTTCTCTTTAAAACAACATCAAAGACAATGGATAGTGGTATTTGCAGAGACATGGCAATAGTGCCAATTAGGGAAGAGGTGAGAAAGCAGCCCCTGTTGATGAATATATATAAAATTAGCTAAAGAGTCATTTGCGANAAAGTTTATTTACAAATCGGAAGAAAAATGTTTTTACTAAATAAAATAAAATTAATGAGAAACCTAAGACCGCCTGGAGCGCAAATATTAGGGAATACTACCTACATATTAGGGAAATAAATTATTTGTGCGATTTGTATTTTCTCATAATAAAAATTCGAATTAAACTCGAAATACAGCCAGAGTATTGTTGTTTTGCTTTCTGAGCAATTTAGAATGAAACTGTTTTTAAAAACGTTCCTTCTTTCTACAGAGGAGCTAGAAGATGATATCGCTACATATTCACAAACATATTCCATTATATATAGTGTGAGCAAAATGTCTGGAAGTGAGCTCAGTCATTACTGCCAATAAGCGATTCCTGCTGTTCCTCATCGTTTATTCTAAACGAAAATAATATTGAAAACAAGAGAAGAAAAAGCTATAATTGACAAGTGCATATTTAGGTGCCTTTTATTACCCACCTGACTATATTTGGTTTGCGACAACGGCACGATTTCCGATATATGACCTTAAACAGCCTCATTAATGGATCAGAGTCATCGTTGCGCATTAACAATGCCACCAATATTAGCGCCAAAAATATGGGTATTGAGCCCATATAAAACATAGGCGAATATGGCTTTCTCTTTAAAACAACATCAAAGACAATGGATAGTGGTATTTGCAGAGACATGGCAATAGTGCCAATAAGGGAAGAGGTGAGAAAGCAGCCCCTGTTGATGAATATATATAAAATTAGCTAAAGGGTTATTTGCGAATCAATATTCCGATCAACATACCATAGCCAAAGCGCTTCCGAGATCACAGTACCAACTAAACCATTTAAAAACAGTATCGCGAATTGATTTTGATTTGGTAGCTCAAACTGTTCGATTTTTAAAAAATTCAAAATAAGGAATATTGGCCACATGAGTAAAAGATTCCAGAGACCAACGAAGCCTGTAAATAGCAAGAAAAATTTATCGGTCAAGGAATAAATAGATAAAAAGACAGAGACTCACCAAAAAAGAGTGGAATGTCAACTTTTTCCTCGGTGTCGCTTTTTCGTTTTACAAAAACTAGATAAGCGGCATAGAAGAAAGCACTGAATAGCGCTAAAAGAGCACCACGAGAAAATCTTGCTTCATGTATATCAGAAATAGTAACGACGACCTTAAAAAAAAAAAATTGAATTTAATAACTTTGCTAAAAGCGATTGCCGATTACTCACAATTCCACCAATATTCATAGCAACTGCAATAAATTTGGTTATTGTAAATTTATCACCTACAGAGGAAGGAAAGAAAGCCGCTAGCACAAGTGTGAAGAAGGAAGATGAGGAGCTCAGTAAAGTTACCATTGCTGTTTCCCCCAACTCGAGTGATAATTGGAAAAAATAATTTGCAATAAACCACTGTAATAAAATAGGAAAACGTTATATGGAGAACAAAGTTTTGAGAACTCCACTTACCAGCACACAGAAGAGTAGCGCTGTCTTAGCGGTCTTATGATGTGATTTTTGTCTGCGTATGCGCATGCTAGCAGCATAGGAAAGCCGCGCCATTAACGCTTCCGTTGCTTCATGTGCAGACATTTCGCGCACTTCAGCCATTTTACTAAAACGCACGCTACGAATGCTGGAATCATCGCTCTCTGTGCCCGATATGGCTCCACTCGAGCGTATCGGAATGAATGTGGGATCACTCTGAAAGCAAATGTATAGATTTTAAATTTAGTAAATTGAAAAAGGAATGCAGTTTTGGGTAAAATACCAGTGAGGGATTGGTTGCGTAATAGTTCTCATCATCCGCCACTTGATCCATAACCTATAATATAGAAACAGCATCAATACTACAAATTCAATTATTTTATCTTATATGTTTTTAAAATAAATAGCGGCGCGAGGTCCGACAAAACAAGAAATGGCTCTGACATTGCTTTTTGAAGCCAATCAAGCCTTGAGTGAAATTCAAGGCGATATAAATAAAANGATAAAAAGACAGAGACTCACCAAAAAAGAGTGGAATGTCAACTTTTTCCTCGGTGTCGCTTTTTCGTTTTACAAAAACTAGATAAGCGGCATAGAAGAAAGCACTGAATAGCGCTAAAAGAGCACCACGAGAAAATCTTGCTTCATGTATATCAGAAATAGTAACGACGACCTACNACCAAAAAAGAGTGGAATGTCAACTTTTTCCTCGGTGTCGCTTTTTCGTTTTACAAAAACTAGATAAGCGGCATAGAAGAAAGCACTGAATAGCGCCAAAAGAGCACCACGAGAAAATCTTGCTTCATGTATATCAGAAATAGTAACGACGACCTAAAAAAAAAAAATTGAATTTAATAACTTTGCTAAAAGCGATTGCCGATTACTCACAATTCCACCAATATTCATAGCAACTGCAATAAATTTGGTTATTGTAAATTTATCACCTACAGAGGAAGGAAAGAAAGCCGCTAGCACAAGTGTGAAGAAGGAAGATGAGGAGCTCAGTAAAGTTACCATTGCTGTTTCCCCCAACTCGAGTGATAATTGGAAAAAATAATTTGCAATAAACCACTGTAATAAAATAGGAAAACGTTATATGGAGAACAAAGTTTTGAGAACTCCACTTACCAGCACACAGAAGAGTAGCGCTGTCTTAGCGGTCTTATGATGTGACTTTTGTCTGCGTATGCGCATGCTAGCAGCATAGGAAAGCCGCGCCATTAACGCTTCCGTTGCTTCATGTGCAGACATTTCGCGCACTTCAGCCATTTTACTAAAACGCACGCTACGAATGCTGGAATCATCGCTCTCTGTGCCCGATATGGCTCCACTCGAGCGTATCGGAATGAATGTGGGATCACTCTGAAAGCAAATGTATAGATTTTAAATTTAGTAAATTGAAAAAGGAATGCAGTTTTGGGTAAAATACCAGTGAGGGATTGGTTGCGTAATAGTTCTCATCATCCGCCACTTGATCCATAACCTATAATATAGAAACAGCATCAATACTACAAATTCAATTATTTTATCTTATATGTTTTTAAAATAAATAGCGGCGCGAGGTCCGACAAAACAAGAAATGGCTCTGACATTGCTTTTTGAAGTCCATCAAGCCTTGAGTGAAATTCAAGGCTATATAAATGAAGTATCATCGATGTAGAATTTTATATCGCACATATGTATACGCACCGTGTAGCTGCCATTTTGACGTTCACAAGACTCTCGCCAAGGTGTCACCAAGCCGATTACAACCAAATAAATGGCAAACATCGAAGTCTTAAAGTAAGTGCAAAAGAATGGCTTATNAAAAAAAAAATTGAATTTAATAACTTTGCTAAAAGCGATTGCCGATTACTCACAATTCCACCAATATTCATAGCAACTGCAATAAATTTGGTTATTGTAAATTTATCACCTACAGAGGAAGGAAAGAAAGCCGCTAGCACAAGTGTGAAGAAGGAAGATGAGGAGCTCAGTAAAGTTACCATTGCTGTTTCCCCCAACTCGAGTGATAATTGGAAAAAATAATTTGCAATAAACCACTGTAATAAAATAGGAAAACGTTATATGGAGAACAAAGTTTTGAGAACTCCACTTACCAGCACACAGAAGAGTAGCGCTGTCTTAGCGGTCTTATGATGTGATTTTTGTCTGCGTATGCGCATGCTAGCAGCATAGGAAAGCCGCGCCATTAACGCTTCCGTTGCTTCATGTGCAGACATTTCGCGCACTTCAGCCATTTTACTAAAACGCACGCTACGAATGCTGGAATCATCGCTCTCTGTGCCCGATATGGCTCCACTCGAGCGTATCGGGATGAATGTGGGATCACTCTGAAAGCAAATGTATAGATTTTTAATTTAGTAAATTGAAAAAGGAATGCAGTTTTGGGTAAAATACCAGTGAGGGATTGGTTGCGTAATAGTTCTCATCATCCGCCACTTGATCCATAACCTATAATATAGAAACAGCATCAATACTACAAATTCAATTATTTTATCTTATATGTTTTTAAAATAAATAGCGGCGCGAGGTCCGACAAAACAAGAAATGGCTCTGACATTGCTTTTTGAAGCCAATCAAGCCTTGAGTGAAATTCAAGGCGATATAAATAAAATATCATCGATGTAGAATTTTATATCGCACATATGTATACGCACCGTGTAGCTGCCATTTTGACGTTCACAAGACTCTCGCCAAGGTGTCACCAAGCCGATTACAACCAAATAAATGGCAAACATCGAAGTCTTAAAGTAAGTGCAAAAGAATGGCTTATCGAACTTCTCATTTTCATAAAGAAACTAAAGAAAGATAAAGTGAAATTATTTAAATAGCATACACACATATAATTATTTGAATATATGTACCTTTGTTAGTTCACTGGATGATACCCAAATTACATCGACCAGTAACAATATTATGATGCCAAGTATGAGCTTTTGTGTTTTGCTTAACATTTTCCCTTTTACACAACACACTGCGTTGGCGTCCCCGTCGGCGTCGGCGTCGGCTCGCCGGCGTGCAGAGTGGGGCGACGCGCTCGTATAGCTGTTCAACTTTTGACCCAATTTTGTATGCACCAACCTCCAGCCGTCTACTTTCGACTGTGGCAGGCGGTTGGGCAGAATTTGAGTATTATGCTTTTGATTTTTTTTGTGTTTTCTTTTACGAAAATTTAGCGCTTTTTCTGCCGTCTCGTTTACTTTTTTTATACTGTCCCTACTTTTTATATTATTTAAGCGGTTGCTTCTTTTTCGAGATTTTTTAATTTTTTAATTAAGCTTTTGATTAATCAGCAAGTGTTTAAGCTTCATTTTTAAAATTGGGTGAATGCGTTTGTTTCTCATTCTTATTATGCTTCGAGTTCATACATTTTGCCATTGCTTTAAAATATTGACCTATTGGCGCCAAGAAAAGCGCTGCTATATATTGTATTTTTTAAGTGTAGTTTGTTCTTAGCAGGCATCTGAAAAAGGATACAAGCAAAAAGGATATTAATCAAAAAGTGGAGCCTTTGAGTTTACTGCAGGGGAATAACAGATTTAAGAATAATAAGTTCTAAATTTCTAAAATCCAAAGTCGCTAAATACATCATCACCTTATCATAACTGCAAAAATACATACTTACATACTAAGTTTATATTGATTTTAGATGATTCATAGTAATAAAATGACTAAACTGGTTCGGTCATATAAAATGCCAGACAAATATAAACATAAAAATGATGATGCAATGAGCTGACAAAGATGCGCTCAACTTTTTTCGTTGAAGTTCTTGAAGAAGATTTTACGCTGGCGTTATACCTCCTTTCTAGCTTATATTAAATACTTCAATTACACGTTTCGAACGCTTGATTCACCCAAGTTTTTGTAATATCTTCATTTAAGAAATTTTCTTTTTATGGTGGTATGGTGGTAAGATAAACTATTTATTTGGTGAATTTTGCAAGCAATTGAAACTCGGCATTCAGCACCAGTAGAGCTCGTTGAATGAATTTTTTAGTAGCTACCGCCGTATAGACAACGCAATTGCCTATACACAAAGAAATCTAAAAAAAAAATATAAAATATTGGCGATAAAATGGCAACGATGACAAAAGAATTTTTGTAAATTAGAAAACTTCCTTTTGTGTTAAAATGATAAAATCGTTAGGTTTGCTTGTTTATCAAAGTAGCACCCGCGAATGAATGTGTGAATATATCCACATTAGGGTGGCTCTTATAAGACCGTACCCATACCTATGTATGTCCATAAACTGTACTATTATATACAACCTTTTAAATAGTGGGTCCTAGTTAAAATTTTAGAACGCTTTTAATAACAGACTGATGTGTAAATAGAAAGCTGACAACGCAAATTCACTGTAAATAGATTTAGCGTCGCGCACATATACATATCGTTTTCCTCATGTGTACACTCAGAAAAAAGCATTTCCTTAAAACAAGAAAACATTCTATTTATTTTAGAGTTACTGTTTTTTTCTTAATATTACGAAAAAGTTTATCAATTTGGGAAGTATTTCCGTAATTCAGGTTCATACTAAAAATAGTGCGTCATTAATTTGAGCAAGTGTATTTACTCAATATAAGTAATAATTTTGTCTATGCTGTTAAGACGAAGTTAATTGATTTCCTGGCAAACGTCGGCTGCCGCGTCGCGTGAACATTACTGCCGCTGGTTCTGAGATCGCAGCTTCGAGTCCGGTTAGAGGTGGTTAGAGTAAGATAAGTCAATTATTTCAATTTAAATATAAACTACAAATTGCAAAATTAATTGCATATGGAAATACCAAAATACCCAAATATCATAGAAAATTAATGATACATTTTTCTAAATACAATTTATAAAATTATTTAACAAAAATTCCCTGCTCTGGTAATCGAACCTTGCATCTCTCGACCAGCGCTCCAGAGCTTTGCTCTGTCAGTCATTGTGACTATTTGGGCGCAGCGAGTAAAATGACATACTTATTCCTTTCACGGCAAGTTAATTTTTCCTAAGAAGAAAGAAAATAGTACTTAAAACTATAGAATTGTTTTTTTCCTTAAACTGAGTCAAATCGTTTACTCATATTAAGGCAGCCATGTCATTGGAGCCATTTCAAGGTAAAATTTCCTTATTTATTTTTATTTTTTATNATATTAAGGCAGCCATGTCATTGGAGCCATTTCAAGGTAAAATTTCCTTAGAACAATATAATTTTTTCCTAGCATCAAGGAATGTTTTTTCTGGGTGTAGGTGCATTACACATGCAACTGAAGAGTAGTACAGAAAAATGTATCTCACTCAAAAGATGTGTAAGAGTCACCCTAATGTACATACATACGTTTACGGAATATACCTGCAGGAAAGATGGAGCTAATTGTTCTTAAATTAAAACCATAAAGGCGAATTCATTGTTCTACTTCAGAACTTTTCTTCCAAGTGGTTGTTGTTGTGTTTCTCTCCCTGGAAGAGCAACTGAAAAAAGTTCTTTAGTTCAAAACTTGAATGATGAATCCGCCTTAAGAATAGTGGTTTTGTAAGTAGACCAAAGATAGTCTGGAAAAGCAAAGCTATCCGTGATGTTGGGTAGGCGATTTGCCAGGTGTAATGTTAGGTAAGTCAATTAAACTTTGAGAGGCTCGAATTTAAAGCACAGTGTTAAGTAGAACGCTATATTGGACGTACTGCTGGTTTCCACGCAGAAAAGGGCAATTGAACACAGAAAAGGCCGGGCTTGTTTTGAACCAAATTTGCAACTGGTTAAAAGCATTAAGGTCTACTTTATTTAGCATTCTGAGTTTATCAAGACATCCTACAGGGATACTACCTACTCTGTATTTATATTTCTATTTGTATGCGTCTGCACAATAAAGCGTCATTAGGGTCATTCCATGTGAAAGAGGGAAACGGCATACATTTTAAAATGCCTTAATTATCCCTACTTCAGTAGTTTTTGCTAAATGACCACATATAATTAGTCCGTTGAAAAAAATATATTAAACAAATTAAGGGAAGCTGTAGCTTTTGTCTATGGAAACTTTTACTTCATATATAATTATTTTATACCAGTCACATGGATCTGTCAAACTAGTTACAAATTTAAATATTATTTAATATTTCTACGATGGATGTATCAGCCTAATTTTTATTGAAAACAAAAGCGTATAGTATATATTTTACAACACAAAAAATTTGCCTTCAAAATTAAGTATTTTGGTCAAACTTCGTTTCTGAGTGCGCAAAGGTAAAATAGAGGGATTTTCAGTCACCACCAGTCACACTCATTCAATTGATAGTTACAAAGAACATAGAAATCGTTTGGTATTTTTTTTTTAAGAAATTTTATACACTAGTTATCTATCTACATACATACATATGTCCATATGTATGCTGAAAAATATCTTTCATTGTTGAATAAGTTAAGACGGCATAGATATAATACGCAACTGAATACATTCGGGAGTAAAATATCCCACCAGTCACAATGGAATGGCCCATTAATTAAATGACGCAGTGAGAGATAGGCAAGTAGAAGAGGGAGCGCAAAGAAATTGAAGTTGTAATTCAATTGCGCCGCGCAAGGGCTTTGCAAGACTTTGAGAACCTCCCTAATAAATATATGTAAGCTCAGTATAAGAGCAAAAATGATCTGCTTTGTGTATTTTGTGGTTGATTTTGTACTCTAAAATGACAAAAATGGTCTAAACTTTGTAATTTTAAAGTAAAATGTAAACAAAAATTGCAATTCAGAGGCTAAACGCACGAAAAATAATCTGCCCTTTTGCTGTTGTTACCTGTTCAATACCACATCGTACATATGTATACATAAATACATATTGCTGCGAAATTCACACTTCCATTTAGCGGCTAAAATGCAAATTCTATGTATGATTTAGTTATGCACTGATGATATATGGCGGCTGGGTATTTGATAAATTTTGCTTGCGATAACAGCAACTAAATCAATTGTTTCATTGTTTGCTTTTTGCTGACGATAAGGTGTGATGCTTTTTTTGTATTACATAGTAGTTGAAGAAATAAAAATGAGGCGAAGTATGGACGGAGTTAGCCGTAAGATAGGGCTGCCAGACGTCCTGGTTTTCCAGGATTTGTCCTGATTTATACAAATCGTCCTGATGTCCTGGTCCACACTTAAAATGTCCTGTTTTTTTAATGAAGGTCAATGCAGACACTCCAATTTTTAACAGATTTTTGCTAGGAAAAAAATAGGTTAAGCTTTCTGTCATTAGTAGTCTAAAATTGATAAGGAACGTTATTTATAACATGTTGAACATCTGGTGAGTTTACCCTATTTCTGTTTAGTTTATTTGGTTAAAATCTTAATTTTTCGGGCAAATGCCAAAAAAGTGCAAATTTCTGTTCAGGTACACGGCTGTGGGGTCATACAGAAATACTAACCAGTATATAATATCCGGAGCTATAATCTAATCCAAAAGGCCTTTCTGAAAGTTATTCCTTTCTCCTTCATTTTTTGTATGGAGCGGCACAAATTGAAGGGCTTCTGCTTTCGCTATTCAGAGCTTTCAGAAGGGCTTTTGTAGGATGCCCTTTGAAGAAGTTTTTTGAAAGTGTTTCCTAATTCATTAAACTCATACTTCTTTAAGGAATTTACGTAAGGTTCATATCAAATAGTTTTATTTACACTTAAAATGCTTAATGAATCTTATTTGTAATGCTATGTAAATTGTAAATAGGAAAAACTTTCCTAGGAAGCATGCAGGGAAGCACTTTTTTCAGTCCCTGTTGCGCAAGTCTTTTAGAATCGCTTCACTTAAAAAGACATCATACCTAAATTATCTTCAGGTTATGCATATACAAAATGGCAAAAATGATCATGAAACGCGTTGTAGGATATGCGGAAATTTGCTAATGGTGGTAAGGCAAACATTCTAGATCACTTAAAGGCGCCGCTATTTCCAACTTACGTCACAGTCACGAGAAATGTTTTCTTATATGATTAAAAAAAAAATCAGAACTTGAGCGTTTCATCATCATCACTCAGTCAGCTCTACAAAACTACATTGCTTATAATATTACAACCAAAGCAACTGTCCTTATAGGGAATATATTGCGACCATATACTGTTGAGTTTTTGTTCTTGTTGAACCGCCTATTTCGGTTCATCCTCCAATCATTGCCCAGGCAGTGTCAGTGTCAATAGGGTCGGACCAAAGGGAGAGGGGCGTTAGTTGAGTGGGAATGAGCTGGCATGTGAAGACGGGAGTCTCCACATGCGGACACTAACTGGGGTCGAGTCTGGACCGGTAACAGCTACAGTATCCAGACCGTAACTGTGCCAGCGTAGCGCGGGTATCTTTCGACAGTTGAAGTCCATATTTGACACAGGTGGTGGTTGGGCTCCGATCAAGGCATTCATAGGCTGTCGTGTTGTTGTTGTTGTAGCGGCTACTAAGGCCCGTTCAGGTCGGTTCATCCATCGGGGTTGTCGTCAATTTCAGCTAGGAAGTGTGCGACTTCCACAGGGGCTGACCATAGGGACAGGAGCGTCAGCTGAGTGGGGTTCTCAGGGCATGTGAAGAGGTTCCGGGAGTCATGTGGCGACTCTCCATATGCCGGGCATTGGTTGGGCACATCCTCGTTGATTCTGCTTAAGGACGAGTTTAGCCTGCTGCAATAGCCAGAGCGAAGTTGGGCTATTGTAGTGCGGGTCTCCCGAAGCAGACAAAGTTCTGTCCCGTCCACGTCCGGTGGTTGCGGGAGTCTACATAACTTGAGACTGATTCCCTGTGAATGCCGTTCAGGGCCTGTCGGTAGGTTGACGGGTCCAGAGGTTGTCTGTCATCCTCCTCGGTTCTAAATCAGAGGGTATTACAGGAGCCCCATGTACCCTAGGCAAGTGCTCCGTCTTGTCGATTAAGTCGGAAAAGATAGGCGCTTTGATATCTGAAGGCCTTTTTAGGATACAGCGTGCATTTTGGAATCAATTCATACGTACCTACATACATAGACATTTATTTCTTTTTGTCAAAAAGGCTATCTGCATAATGAATATTACCACAGTTGGAACTTGTTGAAATAATACTCAGTTTTGTATCCAATATGTTTAGCCGCAAATATATATAAACATATTTATGTATATGCAGGTAAATGGAAGGATAGATTTTTTACATATAGTCTCCATAAACCTTCATACGGAGGGGCAAGCCATTCGAATGTTCCTGGTTTAAATTAAGACTTACCAAGCCAGATTATCGTTTCGGTTAAACTGTTATTGAATATCACATACAAAATAAACTTTAAAGGGTCGTTTGTTTATTGTAAACATTGTTTTTCTATACTTCGAATGAAATACAAGTAAACAAAACGTATGGCGACGGGCGTGATTGCAGAGCAACACCTCCTCTTTGCATGGATACTCCATGCCTCTTTTATTGCAGTTATAATAGAATAAAATAGCACTCAGCTAGTTGAAATTGCAAGAATATTAAAGATATTTTATAGCTACATACATAAATGCTTACACAATTCTTCAAGTTGCAATAGTTCTTCTAGCACAATCTTTTATTTACATAAAATTTTCCACAGAACTGTTTTGGTTTATTTTCGCACCATACTGACTTTTCTGCAGCACCTTTCAATCTGTGTACATGGTTGCCATTACACAAATAAATAATAAAAAAGTAAACAATAAAGGCCCGTCCACATACAACTTTGACTTTGCATTAGCGCCAGCGTCGCTTCGACGGCAATGCGAGTAATGCCAGTGCTTGCTACAATGAACGCTCCGCAGCGAATACTTTGGTCACTGAATTATCATACTAGTGGCAGATGAATCAAAATTTTATATCAATAATTGTATCAAAAACGATATTTCATGCCCGCATTTGATTACAAAGGAAAACTTTTTCACACAATTTTGATTATTAGTAACAGCTGACGAACCACAATATACAGTTATAATCCTTTTTGAGTATTCCTCGGCGTAAAACCTGATCAAGGTTGATAATGAGAAGGAGTATGGATTTTGCTGATTCAGAGTTGCATACAAAATTACTGTGGTATGAAAGGGAGCAACAACCCATGATCCAACTACACAAGATCTGACAAGATGAAGCAAAAGAAAAAAGTAATTTTCTGGCTGACGTTTGTAATTTCGGCGCCATGTTATTTTCTGTGAAAAGTAAACAAAGAATATGAAGACGAAGCATAAAGAAAAAATGCAAGAAATGTGGTGCACATGTTTGTGCTAACCATTTTATTTTATTTTATATTTTTTGTACGTGTTTTTGCATCCAATCACCGCGCACTTCATTTTAATTACATTTGCACAAAAAATCACTTAAAAATCACTGAAATAAACCACCGACAAAATACACATAAAGAAAGAAGCAAAACACATATAGCAAACTTCAAAACTACGAACGTCACACACTTTTTTCTCAATTCCTATTACAAATGGCTGCTTCTCAACCGGTCAGATTTGTTCTAATTGGTTCATGGAAACAACCGTACTAATACCTTTGTACCTCATTTTAAAAAGATAATTGCTATTTCCAATATTCAGATATCCAGTTTGTAACCAGAGGGAGTGGTTTTTGAGGCTCACTAAAATCTACTCATCACATTGGGGCAGCTCCGGGTAATGGACCATTGAATATGTTGGCTGAACTTATGACCACCATAACCAACACAGTCTCCAACCAAATGCGTGTCTTGAATTTATACTACTTCGTTTTCGGTACCCGATACCGATTCTTTACATTGAACCTTCGCCATTATATGCATTTCAAGTTTAGAAAAAACTTTCATTACTAATTTATATGGTATCGGCTAAAACCCTTGAACTTATCGCAACGGAGAAATATTATTTTATCAGTTTTAACCTTAGTCGATCCAAGGTTCAAGAAAAATGCTTTGACGGATGAAGAAGCCTTTCAGGGGGGAGATTCTGTAACTAGTTAGCGACAAGTTCTGGATCGATGTTGCACTTGTTGACATAAAAATCATATCATACGTCAACAAAACCAATACCGATTCGAAAATTGTCGCTAACTGGTTACAGAATCTGCCCCCAGGCCTACAAAAATGATATCATCCGATTCAGCTGGAACAAAAATGCTTTAAGAGTTTCTCTGCATTATGGTCTCGAACCGACATATACACATCTTTCATTTGAATCAGTATTAAACGCTCTATTGGCTCCTACATTCGTGTTTTGATAGGCGAGTCTACCCTGAACCGTTTTCTCGATATTTTTGGCCTATGTGCGCTTTTATTCGAAACCTAAATGTTTCGGTACCGAGTATCGAGAGTATTGGATAAAAGTATTGACTCAGCACATCATTAATATTACATTTACATTGAGCCCAAATGCGCATTTCAAATGAGTCATTTAAAAGTCGTTTACATTTTCTCATTCGCATTTCCTCTGACAGTTAATTTTAAACGTCTGTTTTATATTATTTACATTTTTAAAAAGGGAAAAAATGGAATTAAATTTGGTAAATTCGGTTATTATTGCCGAATTGAATCGTCTGATTCAAATGCAAGCTGGAGTTGAAGCTCTTGCGCAATCCAGCAGTTGTTATAAACAAAAGCGGCTGCGGATAAGGGCGA